AAACGATAAACGAAACGAAACCAGTAAAACAACCAAAACAAAACCACGACACCTTTGTCCTGATGCTCTCTATGTTGTATGTAAATGAACTGCCCTGTTGTTGAAATGTTCGCAGGTAGCAGCATTAAATCAGAGCTTCACTGTTAAAGCTGCCAAATAATTATTTAGTCGATAAAACATTTTTTTAAAAAAGAGAGAAATGCTCATTGCAGGTTCCCAAATTTAAAACTGGCTTCTTGTAACATCTTGTTCTGTTGCAACAATAGAAGATCCAGAAATACTACTACTAGTAATACTGCTACTAATACTGGTAGTACTACTACTACTACTAATACTAATACTACTGCCACTACGACTGCAAAGTCTTAAATCTGACACTTTGTTTTGGCTAAAAGTACACATGTACAGATATTTGCCGCCATTTTTAGAGCCTTTACGGCGTTTGAACGTCACAGGTTTCCTTTGGTTTTTGCACCTTTGCTGTCATGTTTTCACAGTTTGCTCCTCAATCTGTTCTGTACAGGGTTGGCAGAAGGTTTTATTGTTGTGGCTGATTGGCGTAAAGTAAATTCAATTGAGTTTTATCCACACAGCACCAGCTCACATCCTATTAGGTGAGAAGCTGTTATCCCATGTTATCCATCATGTCCATTTAAGAAAACAGTCAGCTTAAAATGTGTAAGAGTCACAGAATGCTTATAGTTTTTGGAACAGACGTCCGTCAGTCCGTCACTTTGTCAACAAGCACCTCCGCTGTGAGACTCGGACGGCTGCTCTTAACCTTATTTTCATAATTGAATTACAGCTGCCCCCCAGCAGGAAGGCTTTCACACCGTACACACAGCGGCAGCATGCGTCGCTCTGACCTCGGACCTCCCGGACGGACGACAATCTACTTAAACCGCACCAAGATAAAAAGCCTTCAGGTCAGGTCACGTCTTCACGCTGATGCACGCTACGGTCAGGTGCAGCTCTAGGCATTTCCTAGAAAGCTCTTGTTGTGTTTACAGTACACGGAGGCGTTCGGTACCACCTCCGCAAACATGAACTACGTCAACGTAAATCCACTGCCTATGGGCTTTTGTCATTAGCTCATCAAGGGTATAGAAACGTACAGCTCAGGGGATGTTATGGAGTAACACTTGGAGTCCAGCATCAGTAGGAAATTGAATTATTGTGACAATTTGTAAATTGGCAGAGAGGAAGTCGTCCGCAAAAACAAAGTGACCGAGCAAGAAAGAGATTAATGAGGGAGGC